TTTTTTTTTGCGCCAGTTCTTTTCAGAATAAATAGCTCATGCTAATATCATTTTACTACGTTTGCTTTGTATTTTTGCAGTGTGTTTGCCTTTTTGCGCAGATACAGAAACGTCTCCAGCGGTTGTGCCCGAAATTTTAACTGGAAAACAAAGGAACTTTATTTTGACAGATTCTTTGGTCGTAAACGTTGGAGAAAATGCCGAGTCTCACTCTGATAATGACCTGGAGGTAATTTAAAGAGTTTAAATTGGCTTGGTCCTTGTCTTTGAGTGTTTTCTTTGCAAAGTTTACTCAAAAAAATTTTTTTGACATCATAACCAGTTTTCACAAAGAACTTCTCCTGTATGCTTCTTTGAAAGAATCTAATACTATTGCTTCTTTGAGGTTTTAATTTTGATGTTTGCAGTTTTAGCGGATAACTCCCGGTTTTGCTGTTTGAAAATTTGATTATAAAATACAAATTGTTGTACAGAACGATGTACTTCTTTGAAAACTCTGATTTTGAATAAAGACAAGATTTTCCTGGTTTTTTTGAGGCATAATTGAGCTTAGAAGGCGCACTTACTAGTCATTTTGTGTTAGGGTTTTTAATCTTTTTGTTTTATGTTTAACTGTACACACTATAAACCCTGTTTAGATAGGTATTCAATTCTTTGATCATACATAAAGATAATTATTTTACTCGTCTGTAAAAGCGTTACTTGCAACCTTTCTTCTTTACTGTACTGCTGTTAAATGCTTCTAGTCGGCAATATATTATAGTGTCGCTTAAAAATCATAATTTTTTTCTTGTCAAGTAGATTGGAAGTTTAATTGCTTTTCAGCAGAATACGGTTCAGTAGCGTATTTTTGGCGTTTTATTGATCTTTTTTTGCAGGAGATTCTCAGCTTATTTGATGCTGCCGATTCTAACAGCAACTATTTTCAAACTCAAATTGAGTGTGTTAAGCAAGGAACCAAGTGGAAGCAGATTAGTTCGGCACAGCGTAACAAGCGTTGCAGTCAAGGCAGTTTGCCTGTTTATAAACAGGTCTGTCACTTTGAACTTCTAGTCTTGTAGTTCTTTCGTTAAAGTGACAGATTGTTTTCTCATTTGCTAAGCATCTCAGTTACTTTTCTTCCTAATCTGAGTGAAAAGTTGGAGGGTCCACAGTGTGTTTCTTATGCCTCTCTTTTTATTTTAAAATTTTCTTGAATCAAAAATGTTTTGTTTTTGCTTTCTTATTTTTGAAGTAATGTAATTAAGTCTGTTGTTTACAGCGCCTTGTAATACGGACATCATTTATGTGTCATAGATTAAGAAGCATTAGAATGTTATCAGTGGTGGTGTGATGGTTTTTTGGTAAAATTTGGTCAAAAAAATTTGAAGTGGACAGCACGTTTGAATGGCTTTTGAAAGATAGGATTTGAAAGGTCATAGAGAAGCTGAAGTAACAAAATAGTTTGCCGCGAGGGAAGAGGGGGAGGGGAAAGAAGCCAAGCACAATTGTCAAGTCGTTGGTCTTCCATGTTCTTATTAATTACTTTTATTACCACCGGTGTCTCTGCCTTTGACAAATGTTTTTTTTTGTGCTTTTAAACTTTTAGTAACATCTTTAGGTTAAGTCAGTTTTTATTTTCTTATAGCGAGCAATTTTTGCTTTTTGCAGCCTATACTCAGTGAGTTTAGCTTAATTGAAATTATTTTATTTTTAGAATTCATGCGACGCATCTAGTGAGGAAAGCGAAGATGAAAATTGTATTGAATCTACTTCATGTTTGACAAGGTTTTCATGTGGTGAAACCAATTCTTTGAAGCGACCACATTTGTCTTCTAGTACACCGTTTTCGCGTTTTAAAGCATCCTTGCCGGACGTTTATATCAATGTAAAGAAGTTTTCTAACTATAGTAACAAATGTTAGGCAAAAGTTCGCTTCGTTTCTATTCATAATGCTTGTACATGCACATCCTTTTGTTTAGAGATGATTTACTGTGTGTTTTTTCTTCTTTTTACTTCACTGCTTTAGTTGACACTTCTTTCCAGACGTTTGCAAGAAGCTGTTGTTTGCACAATATGACCGCTTCGCAGAGTAGCGAGCCGAGTACAAGCGCAATTAAAGGCAGTTTTTCAACAAGACTTGGTCTTTCACCTACTAGCGGGACTACCTGTTCTCTTGAAAAGGCCGGAATGCGCAGGAAGCTTCGTACTCGACGATTTTTAAGATCAGGCTCGGACTTAGAACATCCGACTAGTTTGATGTCTAGTAAGATTCTGCCGTTTTAGTACAGCCATTATTCGGCCAAAATAGATCTCTTGTTATTGCTGCTGTAGCTGAAATCTACAATTTTTTCCCAACTTTTTATTTTGGACGTTTTAGTACTTATTCTTCTACTTGATAATTTTTATTACTTGGTCGTCAGAAATTTCAGGTCAATCTAATTTAGAAATTAGTATTTTTAGTGTCTATACATTCGGCTCCTGATACAACGGGGTTGTTATGCGGTCAGTTTACGGAGAGCGAAGAGTCTGCACCAGAACAGAGTGATGCTCCGCCGTATGAGTGGGATGAATATAACGTTAGCACTTGTTTTTTTCTTAAAATTACTTTGAGGACTGGAAACATTAAAAAACGCTTACATGGTTAAAATCTCATCTCAATAGCTCTTCGGTTTATATTGATTATCTCTTGTCGAATTTTGCGGTTTTGTTTCATCGAGTGAGATGAATTGTGAAAAGAAGGATAGTTTTATTTCAGAATGTTTGTTCAAGAAGTTTTCTAGGTTAGTGTGCATAAGTTGGAGAGGTTTTATGGAAAAGGTGAACAGGGTTTATTTCATTAAGATAAATGGTCGTCTTTGCTCATATTTTTGCAATTCACAGTTTATTTCTTGTGTCAGAAGATTTGTGTACCCAAAAATGCGTTTTTACGTTTAAACAGATTTTCGTTTTGTATTAGTTTTTGAAAGCGGAAGATCTGTTATATTATCAGAGTTGATGAGTGGTA